TTCCCTGCCTTCCACCCTGGCGCCCCCCAGCCCTGGCTCCCCAGCCGCGCTGCCCCGGGCCTCCACGCCCTGCGGGCTCAGCGGATTCAGCGGGCTCAATCTGCGCAGCGCCTCCTCCATGTTGACCAAGTCTCTGCAGGGGCTTTCTGCGCCCCCCGTGACCCCCACACTGCCGCCAGGTGAGCGCAGCCTTCTCTACCGTGAGTTGGTGGGGTAGGCTGCAATGTTGGGTGGAGGTGCGGGGTGGGGGGAGGAAGGCACGGCCTGGCTCAGCACGCCACCACCCTGACTTATTCGCCTCCGCCTGCGTAGGAGGCAAGGATCGGGAAGCGTTCGAGGCCGAATATCGACTCGGTCCCCTCCTGGGTAAGGGGGGCTTTGGCACTGTCTTCGCAGGACACCGCATCACAGATCGACTCCAGGTACTGTATCTCAAACAAGGTTCTTGGGAGGGTCAGGTGTGTTTGGTGAGGATGGGGGCCTTGTGTTTCTGGGATACTGGTTGATCTGAGAGGGAGCCTGCAATGTGAGTAGTAGGGTCATGAGGACCAGGCTCCGGTTAGGTGGGGGGTGTGGACATGCGCGTCTTTGAGGCTCCAGGTGGATATGTGGGGGGCGGAAGGTTTCAGAGCAGGGATTCAGGAGGTCCAGGGAATTACACTGGGGGGAGGTCTTGAGACTCTAGACCCACGGATCCAAGAAATGAGTGTTTGTATATGCAAGAATGTGGGGCTTTCAATCCCCACATTGTGGGAGTTTGGGCATAGGCTTTCAGTGTGGACCGTTGAGGACCAGAGTTAGGGTATCAAGAAATTTGCAGTGCAGGGGTTAGGATATATATATAGTTCAGTCATAGAGCACTTGCCTAGCATAGACAAGGCCCTGGGTTCTATTTTCAACACCACGAAACAAAAAAATATTTTTTAAGTGCTGGGGATGTAGGTCAGTAGTAGAGTGTTTGATTAGCATGTGAGGGCTTGGTTTCAGTCCCCACTACTGTAAGGAAAGAGTAAAAGGAACAAGAAGAAAAAAAAAATCAGCTCCTGAAATCGAGAGATCCTAATACATACCTAAGAGAGAGCATAGGGTTATGGGCCGCAGGAGAGATGAACTTGATTCTGCACACCTGGAGGCCAGTGGGAAAGCCCTGCTTCGTATTGGAGTGTGGCAAGTTGGGGACCAGAATACTAGAGTGCTGGAAGATGGGAGTGTGTCTAGAGTGGGAGACCAGGAGTGGGGGGTCACCTGCTGGGCTCCTTAACTCAGCCCTCTTCTTCAGGTGGCCATCAAAGTGATCCCTCGGAATCGTGTGCTGGGCTGGTCCCCTCTGGTGAGTATCTTTGGTGTCCTTGACCTGTCAGCTCCATTTGTGATTATGAACTCACCCCCTTGTTTTTCTAGGGCGTGTGATTCCCTGAGCCGCATAACGGTGAGAATACTTCCACCATCCCATGTTTACTTTCTTGGGGTGACACACAGTTCTGATTCACCTGAATTTCCCCAGAACTTGGGATTCTCCCCTCCAACTCAGTTTTCTCAGTCCTTTCAAACACTCCTTTGGGGGCTGCCCACAGGGCATGCTGCTGGGGAAAGAGGGGCAGAGGTCACTGGTTGCCATGGTGATACTGCCGGCTTCTCCTGTCTCTGTTAGGGAGCTAACGGACATCAGGGTGGGTCTGGGCTAGTACGGCTGAGCGCGCCCCCTGGCGGGCTTTTGGGGAGACTGCGCCTGCGCAGGCCGTGAGACCCAGGAGAAGGGTGTGCATGCGCGCCGTATCAAGGCGCTTGAATCTCCGTGAGAAAAACTGACTGCGGCTGTGCAAATTATCGGTATGGCCGGTAGAGGGCCCCACCTCACGCAGGAAGGCTCTTTATGGTGGTTGTGCTTACAGGGTGCTTGGAGTTATTGAACGAACTGTTCGAGGTGCTTTATAGCAGTGCCAAATAGCACATGATAATATTTACTGAGTTTTTATCCTGCTAGACCTTTAGTAATTAATCATTTTTAGCTATAATGAAAATGGGGATTTACTATATGGCTGTCACAGTGCTAGGCCCATGGAAAAATACTACATGCTTTCTAGAGTCCATTTTATGCTCTCCCTTTTCTACTGACTGCTCCTACCTGTTTAAAAAAACTGAGTTCTGAGCTGGGCGTGGTGGCGCACACCTATAATCCCAGCACTCAGGAGGCTGAGGCAAGAGGATCACTGAGTTCGGCTACATAGAGTTCCAGGTCAGTCTCAACTACACAGTGAGACCCTGTCTCAAAACAACAACAACAACAAAAAACAAACACAGTTCTGTCCTGTATCAGGCACTGCTGGTGCTTCAGATGTGCCCTTGAAGAAAACAAACCATGCTACATAAAAGTGCCTCTGAAAAATAAAAGTGCTTCTGCTGAAGAAGGCCTTTGGTTAAGAAACACTTCCATTTATTCAAATATTTACTGAGCTACTGCACACCAGGTGTGTATAGGCTTTTCTCAGCTCACGCCAGTGACTGTTTTAGGTAGAGCTCTTAAGCTGAAAATACTGAGATCTGGAAGGGAAAAGTGGGTTCTGGTCTGCAGTCAGAAGGCCAAAGGAGGGGCTATGATATGACCTTGTTTGCTTCAGATATCAGTTTGACATGTGCCTTCTTTCTTTTCTCTGCTCAGTCGGACTCAGTCTCATGTCCTCTTGAAGTAGCACTGCTATGGAAGGTGGGTGAAGGCAGTGGGCACCCTGGTGTCATCCGCCTCCTTGACTGGTTTGAAACACCAGAGGGCTTCATGCTGGTCCTCGAGCGCCCTCTGCCCGCCCAAGATCTCTTTGACTACATCACAGAGAAGGGCCCCCTGGGGGAAGCCCGAAGTCGCAGCTTCTTCACCCAGGTAGTGGCAGCTGTCCAGCACTGCCATGCCCGTGGGGTTGTCCATCGTGACATCAAGGATGAGAACATCCTCATAGACCTCCGCCGAGGTTGTGCCAAACTCATTGATTTTGGTTCTGGTGCCCTGCTCCATGACGAGCCCTACACTGACTTTGATGGTAAGGCTTTCCTAAATATCATGGGAGCGGGTCCGTCAGTCAGTGCTTTTAACTTTTCATCTTTCTGGCCTCCTGAGCTTTGAGCTGCAGTGGTGGGTTCTCTTAGAACACTTGACCTATATGGTATCTTTATGAGGTGTTTTGTTTTCTAATGACCTTACATTTTCAGCCTATTTATTTATTTTGGTACTGGGGATCAAACTTGAGTCCTTGCGCTTGCAAGATAGGCAGCAGAACCACTGAGCTAAAGCACCGGCCCCTCAGCCCTTTTATTTTGAGACAGGGTCTCTCTCATTAAGTTTCCCAGGCTGGCCTTAATTTAATGCTCTTCCAGTGCTGGGGTTACAGGCACGTGCCACCATGGGGTTTTGATTTCTGATTGCTAATACTGGGGATTCTGAGGCCCGGTCCCCTGATAAGTCCACCTTCTGAAAATGCCCTAATCTTGTTCTGTCTGGACACCTAACTGGTCAGATCTGTTATCCTGAGTGTTCTTTTTCAGTAAGGGTATTTATTGTACTGTTAGTCTTCAGTGCTTTATTCTGGTGAGGAGACCCTGCTTGTTGTAACTACTTTTTGTGGTGATGGGACCTTGCTTTCCTAATTATAGACCTACTATTCCAGTAAGGAGACCTTGCTCTGGGTGAGAGCTATGCTTCAGGGAAGTTGGGGTACTAGGGCATCCTCAGAGTGAAGTAACCCTTGGTTTGTGTGCAGGGACAAGGGTGTACAGCCCTCCAGAGTGGATCTCTCGACACCAATACCATGCCCTCCCGGCTACTGTCTGGTCACTGGGGATACTCCTCTATGACATGGTGTGTGGAGACATTCCCTTTGAGAGGGACCAGGAGATTCTCGAGGCTGAGCTCCACTTCCCTGCCCACCTCTCCCCAGGTGAGAACCTCACAGAACCCAGCCCACCTGATTCCATTTCTCCCAGGGACTGGTGTCCCCACTAACTACTAATCTTCCCTGTGCTTCTTAACCTACAGACTGCTGTGCCCTAATCCGCCGGTGCCTGGCGCCCAAACCCTCTTCCCGACCCTCACTGGAGGAGATCCTGCTGGACCCCTGGATGCAAACACCAGCTGAGGAAGCCCCCCTCAACACCCCCAAAGCAAATCCTACCCCCTTGGCTTGGTCCCTGCTTCCCTAGGCCTAGCCAGGCTCCCACTGGTTGGAATCCCATGGCTATGCCACAGGGATAGATGGACATCTGTTGACCTGGTTTTACAGGTTGTTCAAAATCCAGTATTACTAAGGTCAGGGATTGGAGGTGAGGGGTCAGAAGACAAGCCAAGTCTGCCCAGTCTCCATCCTAATCCTGTGAAGGAGCCTTTCTCCCAGAACCTGTGGTCCTTTATTCTGGAAGGTGGGGGGAATTCTTTGTTGTTTTACTAAGGACGTTAACTGATTGAAGTCACTTCCCTTCTGAGCCCCAGGATTCTTATTTTGACAAGTTGTAACTCCTACACTGGCACCTTCTCCTACCACCAAATGAACTTAGTTTAAATGCTCGTAACTTGGGCAAGGGTGCTTTCCTTAAAATACCCAGCAGCTGTTCTTTTAGCAAAAGGAACCTTTCCCTGGCCTAGGGTCCCACATTCTGTCACACTGCTTGCCTGCCTGCCTGCCTCTGCCCAGAATTGGTTATTCTGGGGGAGGTAATACCCAGGTTATCCCAGGGCTTTTTTTTTTTTTTTTTTTTTTTTGGTGAGGGGATCCCACTGTTACCCCAAGTGCTCTTATTCTGGTGAGAAGAACCTTACTTCCACATTTTGGGAAGGAATGGGAGACGGATACCACCTGATGCCACCAGAGACTAGGATGGGATGGATGGTTTTGGGGGTGGGCTAGGGGAAATGAGTCTTACTGTATGTTCTCCTACCCCCTCCTCCAACTTTTTGCAAATTTTAGCTGCCTCCTCCTGTGCCAGGGTTGTCCAACTGCTAAAAAGTAAATACTTGTGTACTGGAGGGACGGGAGCTAAAAGTGTGTCCTCCTATCCCTTCTCCCCTGCCTGGATTATTTAAAAAGCCATGTGTGGAAACCCACTATTTAATAAAATTAATAAAAATCAAAGGAGACTGGGTATTGCATCTACTGTGTGCTCTGCCCAGAAGGAGATGGCTAGACTTCTCCTTTACTCCTTGGCTTTTGTTTTGTTCTGTGCACACTGTAGTTCAGGCTGATCCTGACGCGACTGGCCTCAGCCTTAGTGCTGGTATTACAGACGAGCCCGGTGTCCCTCCGCTCACTTGGAAGCCTCAGTCTTAAACTCTATTCTCTAAAGAGTCCTTACTGTAGACATTAAGGAAGTTTAAGCTGCACCTCCAAAGAGCCAGTTCAGACAAGAATTGCACTTTCCTTGGCAACCCCAAGGGAACAAGAAACCCATTTAAAGAAAAGCCCTTTCAAGGACACTGGCCTGGTGATCCTAGCTCTTCTCTTCCCTTAGTTTTAATAACGGTATAGTTGGCCGTTTTGTCGATCTAAACCTTCCTTTGTCTTCCCCTTACAAGCTCACCCTCAAATTCCTCAACTCACCTTCGATGTCCCCATCCCCTGCTTTCAATTCCTTGATCACCAACTTGGTTTAACCTCCCCTGCCCCTCAAAGTCACATCCCTCCCAGGTAGCCTTGGGCTCTCCAGGGGTGGAGCCTCGCTGGGAGAATGGAAAGAGGAACTTCGGACCAATCAACACATACCTAGGAGTTTACAATGCGGAAGGGGTGGTGCCGTCGGAAGACGGTGCCAATGAAGATTCGAGATAAGAGGGTACTCGAACCAATGGGATCAATATAAAGGAGGCGGGTTAGATGGGGAACGCGGTCAGCGGAGCGGATGAACGGAGAGGGGGCGGATCTAGTATGGCCAAAGATCCAACGAGGTTTTGTGAAGACAGCTGGAGACGAAGCCGACATTGTCCTGGGTCCTTAATGTCGAGTAGAATTTAGGATTTGGAAATCCCGTGGCAGGCCGCTGTTGAATTTAACCTTTAGAAGCAGACGAGGGAAAGTCACCGACTTGGCCACCCTAGCACTTGCCCACACCCATTCCGGGGGGCCGGAAGAGGATGTGACAGACACGGAAGTGGCCTGCTGTTGCCGAGGGGACAGGCCGGGCAGATGCCAACATGGCAGCGATTGGGGTTGGCGGTTCTACCGCGGCGGCTGGGCCAGGGGCAGTCACTACGGGGTCGTTGGAGCCTGGGACCGCGAATGCGGGTGAGACGGGCTGTGGCCGAGCAGTCGGCGGCAGGGCAGAGGTCGGGATCTCTGAGGATCGGAAAGGTTCCTCATCGAAGTGGCAGGGAAGCATCCCGGGTGGACCGACCTCTGTATGTGTGTGTATATATGTGTGTGTGCGCGCGCGTGTGTGTGTGTGTGTGTGTTGTAGGGAGGAAGGGAAGGTGGAACAGACCACTGTGAGTGGTGGGGGAGGGGAAGAGACCATTCTGAGGGTGGTGTGGGGTGGCTTGCACATTTGCAGAGTAGAGCTCATTCTGAATGTGGAGGGAATTTGCTTTTGAGGAGGCTAAGACCACCGGTATTCTGAGTGTACTAGGGTCCTTTCTTATGGGAGGGAGAGTCCATTCTGAGGGCGTGAGAGTTCTTTATAGAACGGAAAGATTATTCTGGGGGTGGTGGTTCCTCCCTCATAAAAGGACCTCATAAGTTGTCAGGGTGGGGCAGACTAAGGGGTCCATTTTGAGGATGAGGGTGTCTTTCATTATATTTAAGAAGGTTGTTCAGGGAAGGCTTCTTACTGGAATTATGGTTCCGTGTAAATTGAGGTGGGAGGGCCCTTCCTGATATGTGAGAGGAGGAACATTCTGAGGATGCTAGGTCCTTCCTTATAGCAGAGAGAGTTCATTGTGAGTGGGTTGAACAAGGAATTGTTCTCTGACTAGGGGAGAACGGTGTGCAGTGGTGGAAGCATTGACTGGAATATGGCCAAGTATTCCCTTGCATGCTTGAAGAAACCAGACCAGTCTTGGTGGGATAACTGTTCATTATATAGGATTCAATTCTTGAGACAATAAGGGAGGTAGAAGAAATACCATTTCTTAGGCGGGTGGACATACCTAGTACAATAGTCCCATTCTCCACACTGGGAGATTATTCACATGGGATAGTCCCTTGTTAAATAGAATCATTTCATGGAAATCCTCAGTTGGCTCTTCCATAAAATGGGAATCTTCAGTTCTTTCAGAGATGAGAGCAATGTAAAAGTCCCTTGAGGTGATCTATTATACATTAGCCCTGTGATAGGCACACATGAAAAAGTCATTACATGCTGCAAATATCTTTGGCATTCTGTCTGGGAATGAGCTGTTTCTCAGGACAGGGAGAGAGGGAGCAGGGGAGGGTGTCCAGGGCATGTTTTGACACTTCATCATGGATTCCAGGTATGGGCTGGAAAGAATGGGCCCCCTTTCTTCCTTTCTGGCTTTTCCTGCCTGTAGCTGAGAGAGGGGAAGTAGATAGGAGTCTGACTCTCATTGGGTCAGGACAGGAAGAGGGAGGAAGTTATGGTGGCTAAGAGGATCCTGACTGAGAAAGGAGAGGGGGTGGTTGGTGGTGTGGCTATGCCCCAGCAGCTTCTGATCCCCTCCTTCCTCCCTGCCCCTTCCATTCCCCACAGCTCACCGGCGCCTCAAGTACATATCCCTAGCCGTGCTGGTGGTCCAGAATGCCTCCCTCATCCTCAGCATCCGCTACGCCCGCACGCTACCTGGTGACCGCTTCTTTGCCACCACTGCTGTGGTCATGGCCGAAGTGCTTAAAGGTCTCACCTGCCTCCTGCTGCTCTTCGCACAGAAGAGGGGTACGAGCCGGGGGGGGGTCGGTAGGTGGGACTCCCCATGTATGTGTGTGTATGTGTGTGCTCACCTTGAGGGCTTGCTGGGGGAGTATTCTGGTCCTGGGAACCTGCCTGGGGAGTATATGAGTGCAGCAAAGAATCCTTCCCCAAGCTGTGAGTAGCTGCATCTACTTTTATACCCCTAATACCCTGGGAGCTGTAGGAGTGACATGGTCTGTCACAAGGTAGCAAAGGGCTCATATGGTGATTGATTGACTTACCTTTAACTTTGTATTATGGAGAATTCCAAACATATACAACATTGAAAAGAATAATAAAATAGTAAAATGTCTATGTACCTATCCTCCAGGTTCATAGTTACCACTTCACTTCCTGGCAGAGTGGCCATGAAACAGTATAAATGATTATTCACTCACTGCTAATCTACATTTCTATGAACTTCCCCTTATTATTTTGAAGGAGATTCCCCCTCATCGAGAATAAATTTTGTTTAAGTATAACACCAAGCAGATGTGGTGATACGTGTTTCTCGTTTCAGTCTCAGCTTCTTGGGAGGCTGAGGCCAGAGGATCACTTGAGCCTAGTTTGAGGGTAGCCTGGGCAACATAGCAAGACTCTGTCCACTCAAAAAGCAAACAAATAGGGCCAGGGATTTAGCTCAGTGGTGCCACGCATGCCTCAAAAGTACAAGGTCCTGAGTTCGATCCTCAGTACCAAAAAACAAACAAACAATTTTTTTCTCTCCTTGCAATAAATTTATTGAAGAAATCACATCATTTTTATTATACACTTTGGGTAGTCTAGATTCTCCTGAGTGCCTCTCTGTGGTATCTTTTAACATATCCTGTCAGTATTTCCTCAAAGTTGGGGGTTAGGTTTATCTTCTAATTTAAACCTTTCCCGGAAGGCCTTCCCCTTTGAGATGTTGTCAAATTGTTTCTCTTCCAAGACCTTGAGTACACAGAGAATAGAGGTGAACTGTGCCGCTCTGCCCAAGATACTGTTGAAGAAAACATTCTTACCCACACTTGAACTCCAGGAGCCTGGGAGGCAGCTGTTTAGGAAGCTGCTATTTTCTTGATTGATTATATAGACATTTAGGAAGGAACCCTGCGTCAGGCCATGGGCCATGGATGTAGGCGTGTTAGCAACACAGGTGTACATCTTGCTTTCTGGAGCTGATATTTGAGATGGAAAGTCACAGATAGCTACAGACTTCATCACATGCCTTCAGCTCTTATCCACGGTTTCAGTTGGTTTTTCTTTTATTTGAGATGGGGTCTCACTATGCTGCCCAGGCTGGCCTTGTGCGTAAACATGTGGCCTCAAGGAACCCTCCCACCACAACCTCCTTGGTACCTGGGACTTCAGGTGCACCACTATTGCCCAGCTACATTTGCTTTTCTGTGAAGTGGTTTGGTGGTGAAATCTAGCCCAGGGCCTGGGAGGAAGCTGAGTGATTGAGCACTTTGCCTAGTATTGACAAGGCCCTGGATTAGATCCTAGCCCTGCCCCCACCACAAAAGGAAGAAAGAGGGCGACCTATTCGGGACCCCTCCTGTCTCTCAGGAGCTATTCTTTTTTCTTTTTCCTCAGGAGCTATTCTTATTCCACATTTCTATTCCTCATTCCTATTCCCCAGTCAATTTTCCTACTCTGAAAGAAAGAAAAAAAGAAAGAAAGAAAGAAAGAAAGAGAAAAGAAAAGAAAGAAAGAAGGAGAGAGAAAAGAAGTCTGACCTGATGTGGGGCTCCTGGTGGATTTGTGCTTCTTATTTGATGCCAGTATTCAAGCAGTTCACCACAGAAATATGAATGTGCTTGTTTATGGTGTGCAATTCTATGTGGGGTCTGTGATGTGATTTATGGTATGTCACCACTTACCTTTTCAACACCTGAAAAATGAGAGGTTAGAGACCTGAGATAAGTGCCACAAAGGGCAAGAGCAGGGTTTTGTGAATGAGCATCAGCAGGAGTTCTTAGGGTAACCTTGTGCAATAGTTATGGGAATCTTCCTCAAGAAGCAGCCCTCCTCCTCAGATGAATTATAAAAAAGTAGGTGTGGGGCTGTGGCTGTGGCTCAGTGGTAGGACTCTTGCTTGGCATGCACAAGGGCCTGGGTTCAGTATCCAGCACCCCTCTAAAAAAGTGGGGTGAGGGCTGGGGATTTAGCTCAGTGGTTCTGCTGCCTGCCTCGCAAGTGCAAGGACCCAAGTTCGATCCCCAGTACCAAAAAAAAAGTGGGGTGAGCTTTGCAAATGCCTTATTTATAAGGAATGATTCTCAG